TCTATTAATTTTAGACCACTATGATGTTGTTAAAATACTGATCGACCGTGGTGCTGATATAAATATAAGAAAATATGACGGATGGACACCGTAAGTAGAGAAACTATTTGAGTCCCGTTTTTGAAATTTGTTTAATTATTGCATCTTTTATTTGCACTTTAGATTAAATATGGCCGCAAAAAAAGGTGACTCTTTCAAGCCAACAAAATGTTTTGGAGAACAAAAATTCCGAAAATATTTCTTAAACTTTCAGTTGATTTTAAAATCAACATTATTTCCATAGGTTATCTGCAAATTGTTGAACTGTTGCTTGGAAAGGGCGCATTTGTTAATATTCAGACCTTTAGTGGTGAAACTCCATTATACCTCGCTGCAATGGCAGGTTTGATCTATTTTTTCTATCTCTTATTTGTTCAGTCTCTTGAATTCAATTCATTTTGTTTATTTTTGCGAAACAAATTAAAATCTATTTTTCCCATATAAAATGTAGGCCATAAAAATGTTGTTCAATTATTAATCCAACGCGGTGCTAATGTTACTATAGTGGAAGACAATGGATGGTCACCACTGCACAGAGCGGTTGAGAATGGTATAAATATTCAGAAGAAACTGATGAAATTGTGAATTATGATTATGTGAAATTTTTGGTTACCTTCCAGGTTTTGAGAAGATTGTGAAAATTTTGGTAGCAAATAAAGCCGATGCTTATTCAAAAAATCATTACAACGCCTCACCTTGGAGTATTGCTCATAACAAAGGTCTTGATTACAACTATATTCGATGCAAAATGTTCTTCGATTAAACAGCGATTCTTTTCTTTTTACACAGGAAATAAAAAAATCATTGAATTACTTAGAAAAGCACCTCGCCTTGCAGACTTGGGTAATTATTTGTTTAGTCAACATTGATCGTATAATTTTCACTTAAAAGGCAGTTTGTTCATTAATTTTATAAAATCCTTATTGAATATTAACTTTTTTTCTGATTTAGCCTGTCGATCGCAAGGCGAAATTGCAACACCACGTATTATTGGGGGTGAAGGAACGGAAGATGGGGAATTTCCCTGGATGGTGAGTAAATTTTTTTAAATTGTCATAGAACTTTTCTAATGGTGTTTAATTTTCAGGCTGCGCTGTTCTATCTCGACGGAAATAAACTAGTTTATAGATGTGGCGGTTCCATCATTTCGAATCAATTTGTACTCACCGCAGCACATTGCGTACGAAAAATTGGAATACCAAGAAAAGTTCGAGTGGGATCGGTAATAAAAATGCGATTGTTTCTTTATAAACCGTTTTATATTTCATTTTTTAAAAATTATGAATATTTAACAGGCTTCTTTACTCGATGAAAGTAATGACACAAATACTGCCGTCTGGCACGATATTCAGGTTATCATAAAAAACTTATTCATTTTCTTATAAAAACTGAAGAAATAATGTGAATTATTTTGTGTAGGAGATCATCGTTCATCCCGATTATAATGCCTCAACAAGGTGGAATGATATTGCTTTGCTTAGAGTTGTCGGTAATATTAGATTTAATGATCTTGTTTCGCCAGCGTGTTTAAATACAAACTTAGGTGATGTACCATCAAGCCAGAATCTCACTGTTACCGGTTGGGGTACAAATGATCCGAGAAGTAAGTAATAATTAATCTCATCATTTTCTGGCAATTAGTAACGCGCGTTGTTGCTGATCTGTTTGTGTAGGATTTTTATGACTTCAGATTCATTTTGATATTTGTAAAATCTTTTAAAATTTTAAAATGTTTTTAAGGTGGAATGAAGACTTCAAAAGAGTTGCTTAAAGTAAATTTGACATCAATGCCACTAGAGGAATGCAGAACATTATTAAAGAACGCAAATAATGGTGGGCAAGATAAAACTCTTAAAAGTCGTTTTATTAATGGGCAGTATTGCGCATACGGCGGTGAAGGAAAAAGGAGTTGCCACGGTGATAGTGGCGGCCCTCTGACATACCTCAAATCCAGTACAAGCACAATAGTTGGTGTTGTCTCCGCCGGTTCAAACTGTTTGTTGGATTTACCAGACATTTACACCAGAGTCGCATACTATCTGGATTGGATTGAACCGAAAGTTTGGAATAACTAATAAAACTTTGATTTCAACATAAATTGACATAAATTGATGTATAAAAATGGTCGTCTATGAATAAAATCTTTTTCACCCATTTATTATGAACAAAAGACGTTTTTAAATAGACATGCTTGTTTCTTTTTTTTTATACTTGTATTCCTGTCTTTTGCACAAATGCAATGTTGCCATCTTCCAAATGTATAAATACGTGTTGAGCGTTAGTCACAAAACACTGAAAAATTGAATGCTCTAGAATAAAAAACACACATACTGCCGTCACATGTCAGTTTAATTCAAATGAACTCAAGGAGGGAGATATCTGGCTAACACCCTCCCCAATTCCAAAGTATGGCGTACACTAGGGTGGAACATTTTTGGCATAATTTTATGGCCACTTGGAAAAACATGTCTTATAGTCCCCAGATTCAAGATATGAAGAAATTTTCAACTTGCGGTTCCATATAAGACAGCGACTTGAAAGGAATGGAGGTACATTTTACTGGAAAATCATGAAAAATTGCAGTGAAAATCATGAAAAATTGCATTATTTTTTTTTCTCAAAAATAAAAAATCGAAAATTTTGTATGGGAGGCACCTTTATTTTTGGTTGAAATTTCATGAAACTTGATGATATTACTTATTTTGGTCAGAAAATAAGATCCACAAGTTTTCATGGTGATTGGGTCACTGCAATTTTTCATGATTTTCCAGTAAAATGTACCTCCATTCCTTTCAAGCCGCTGTCTTATATGGAACCGCAAGTTGAAAATTCCTTCATATCTTGAATCTGGGGACTATAAGACATGTTTTCTCAAGTGGCCATCAAGATATGCCTCGAAATTCAAAAAATGTTCCACCCTAGCGTACACTGTACAGTCAAAAATTTGTTAACACGATAACTTTCAAACAAGAAAAGTAATTCAAAATCTGACTTCACAGGATGATTAGGGGTGCCGAGGAATAGAAACCAATAGATTTTGAGCGACTTTGGTTGATAGAGTGAAGTGTCATGTCTGGTGTGATGCCCATGGGTATCCATGGAAAAATTCAATTTTTCTTCCAAAAGTGATATTTAATGTATACTTAAACACTCAAAAGTGTGTATTGGGGGGTTTTTGGGTACGAGAAAACCAAATATGACGTTATTTTTGCGATACAAATATATTTCAACACACTTTTCATACAAAAATTTCAAAAAATTTGGATTTTTATATGGAACCCATGCCTGTATGATATCGTAATGAGCTGAAACTTTGCACATAATATTTTCATCACACGAAAATACCATTCCGAGAGTTTGAAGACATTTCACCGCATATTAGGGGTACCTCCCGAACAAAATTTTGCTCAAAAACGAAAATTTTGTATGGAAAGTATATGCATTGAAATTTCTTCAAACGTTCAGAATGTTAACTTTTTGTGAAAAAAATGACCTCTGCAAATTTTTACATAATTACGATATCATATAGGCATGGCTCCGATACAAAAATTCCCATTTTTAGTAGTTTTTGTATGAAAATTGATTCGAAAATTATTTTTATCGATAGTTTCTTTGACTAAAAGTTTTTTAATAAATGCATTTTGTGGATCACAGTGCGGAAAAGTTCATCTTACGGATGTAAGACATTTTATTTATTTTTTTTCATTTTGCCGAAAATGACGCTTTCTCTAATTTTCAAAATAGAAGCTTCAATTTTGATTCATTTATATTGCGAACGATGGACGTACGCTTGAAAATTTTGAACATTTATTTAAATTTCGTCAAAGAGAACGAACTTTGTATCAAAAATTCAATTTATCGCAAAAAAACATCAAATCGTAAGAAATCGTTTTTGTAGAATAGAAGATTACTAGCTATAATGGAATCTAAATGATATGACATATGATTTTTACTTTTCCGCACACCCACTGTGTGCAGTAAAGTATTGCAATCACCCCAAAAATTTTAAATCGCTAAAAATCGTTTTTCTATGCGTTTTGGGTATAGAAAATCACAGAGCAACGGTTTTTTGGCCATGTTAATGTGGGGTACACTGTACACTGTACCCTGTATGGTGTACGCAAAAAATCAATAGGTAATTTGTTAGCACGATAACTCTTCTTAGAGAAAAGCAAATCCAAATCTGATTTTACAGGGTGGTTGGGGGTTTCGAGGAATAGGCTGGTATTGTTTTTCATCGATATTCATGCATCGGTGTATCCATGGTGACACCATGATGGAGTACCCATAAGGGGTATGGTATGCAAAAATTTGTTAACTTGATAAATCTTTCCCCAGAGACGTAAATTCAAGTTTAAAATGTGTATTGGGAGGTTTTTTGGCACGAGAAACCCGGATCCGACGTTAATTTTGAGATACAATCAAATTAACAGAGTTTCTTTGAAAAAAATCGCGAAAAATTGAATTTTTTTATGGTAGCCATGCTTTTATGCAACCTTAATGACGTGAAACTTTGCATAGGCTATTTTTTATACAAGTTTGAAGAAATGTCAATCAAAATTAGAAGTACCTGCCATACAAATTTTTCGTTTTTGAGAGTACCCATACTTTTAATTGAAAAGTTAATAAGAGTGTTTTGTTGACTCGAATTTGATCGAATTTCTTTCCAAAATGTATGCTTGCAGTAACTTAATCACAATTATCAAAATACATAATTTCACCAAATTGGAAGAAATTTCAATCACAAATAGAAGTACTCCCCATACAAAATTTTCTTCAGGAGGAAGGTATCTTCAATTTGTATTAAAATTGCCTCAGAAAAATCAAATTTTTGGTGATTTTTTCTTTCCTTCAATAGACACGCTACACATTTTGAAATATTTATACGTCAATACTTTATTAATTGGCCAAAAAACTTCTCTTAGACAATATAATTCGGTAGTTATTGAATTAGTACTGCACTAACAGTTCGGTAAAGGAAGAAATTTGGAAACAGTGCGGAAAAGTTAGACTTACGGATGTAAGTTCCTTTTTATTTTCCTTTTATTTCGTTACCATATTTGTACATGTACTTTCTTCATGTCACGTTCCGTATTTTGTTTCGTAACTGACACACGGTGTAAAAACCCCGTAGTTGTAATATTAGTTGGTGAGAGTGGTGTTGTTGAGATACATATCCATAGATTCTGACGTCCAGAGTTT